TCTAGATCTGTTTACACTGGTATTTGCGGCTTTAGAAGCTGTTATGCTGATGGGTGTTGCCTGGCATAGCTGCAGTATTACTCAGAATCTGACTCTCAGGGCAGTCCTTGGCACCGTGTGCCAGGCACAGTTATTACAACAGGAAGAACTGCTCTGTTCCTCTTCTAAAATTGTAACATTGATGTAGTCATTCTGGAGACGCACAAATTCTGCCTGCCTAGCAGCAAGTTGTGTTTCCAATCTGTGATGTAAGATAATGGAATATAACAGGGATAGCGAGACCTCACCTTTCCGGCTTCAAAGACTGGTGCACACACTGAAAAATGCACCAATTTCTATATGCCATGCTTGATCAGCTTCACGCCTAGTTCACACCAAGCGCGTTCCAGGAGCAGAGCAGTTACAGACCAAAACTGCGTCCAATGTATTCCAATGCTATTTTGGGCTCTAGTTCACACCGCAGCATTCAGTTTCAGAGCATGTAAAAAAAACTGCAGCAAGCCCTATTTTACCTGCTCTAGAATGCTCTGGCACGCGTGCAAACGCACTGGAACGCACTGAAAGCCCATTTTAAACTTTTTTTTTTTTTTTTACCCAAAACGGCCTGGAACGCCGCAAAAACGCGGCACAACCCACTGCACTGTGTGTGCAGAAACTCATGCAGATCTGCTTTGCATTTGGTGTGAACAAGGCCTCAATGGGCTTCAAAGGTGACTTTAGGGGTCTATTAGACCTTGGCAAACTCAGCGCAACCTCATCTTTCATGTTTTACCAAAAGCTTGGGAAATATATTGTGTTTATGTGCACTAGTATTTTTTTTACTGGAAATTTGGGTTTGATAAAGAGCTGCACTAATACCATTCAACATAAAAAATTGCAATGTCCCCCATTTCATTCTACAGGATGTTTGCTTTTAGGAAATATGTATATAAATGTAATTCTGATGCCTGTGTTCTATCACTTCTCCGGACCCGATAGATTGTTATTATTGTTATATATTATGTAGATTTTATTAGTAGTTTTGGTGTTTTTATTAACATTATATTCCAACAAATGAGGCAGTAAAATGTCGGTACCCGCGGGATTGTGTTATAGCTACGGGCCTGTAAAATTTCTGGACCCAGACATGCGCAGTAGCCTGTGAGATTGTTGGACTGCCTTCACACGCCCCCGGAAGTCCAGCAATCTCACCGGGTCCGGAGAACTGATAGAACACTGGCACCAACACTCTTTATAAATTCCAGGGATAATGTTGCACAGCTGGTGAGATTTATGTTTACTAAAACCTGTGGCAGCAGAAGAATGACAGTTTGGGAAGTGTTGATCTACTAAAGGCAACATCCTTGCAGCCTCTGGGTTGGCATATCACCAATGTAAGATGGTAATCAAAGGCAGTTCATTGTATGTAACACTACCACAAAGTAATGACCAGTCTACCATGGGTTGGCTTGTTGCTGAGTGTTGGCTGCTGCCTGCGTGTTTCCATTATATGGGCAATTTCCTGGATTCAGTGTTTCCTGGCCGCTCACCACGGGAGCTGTGATCACACAGATGGGCCGTTCACTTATCTTACGGCATTCCTGTCCTGTGGCACATATACTGTCTAGTACAAGCATGCATCCCGTACATGTCACAGGTCACCTTTTCCCACATATGCAAACTATTTGTCTGTCTTGATGCAATCATCACTCTTTTCATTCCACTCCCTAAACTTGTGTATGTGTCTCTCTCTCTGAGATTAACATCTGTGTGAAAACTGACACGGTTTCCTAACCCACAAATCCGACTGGAAAAACCACTCTCCAAATCCCGTCATATGTGAATGAGGAAGAGGGTGAGAATAGGCAAAGTGGGGCAGGAAAGGTTGAGGAAATGTAGAAAAACAGGTAATGATGGTTAAAAGCATACACAGGGGCACAGAGGAATGAGTAGGGGCTCTGTCAGCCGTCTGCCTCGGCTGTGGTTGCTTAATTGTCTGCATAATCTTGCAGAACTGAGCTGTGTTCTTCACAGGGTTGGGTGCGCATATATGTTGCATTCTATTATGTTGCAAAGTCGTATACGCAATAGCTGGGGATAGAGAAGGGCAGCTCAATGAGACTGTCTTTGCAAAGCAGTCATGTGGAATAATTAATGTACTAACAAATATATATTACATACAAGTGGATAGTATTAATTGGTTCATTAGGACACAGTGTAACTGCTCCCTCCTCCCACCAGTCCTTTTTCACCTAGTGTGAATCAAGAGGGTAAAGCTTTTTTACCTCTTTGGCCTTGGAAATTCCAAGTGATCATGTGTTTGGTGCCATTAGTTTTTTTATGTTTAGAAATTGTTCATAGTGTAGATTGACTGGTCTATAGAGAATGTCGATTCATAATCTGTTCCCCCGAGACCACCTAAAAGCGGGTACTTTGTTATTCTGGATACCCATAACCACTGTCTCTAAGTGTTTGGAGGCAATCCTATTATTATGGAGTACTAACAGCAGCCATAGCAAAATAATAGCTAAGCACGCTAGAAATTGCTTGTCGATGGTTATTTTTGACATGCCGTGGGCAGATCCCAGGAACCAGGTAGCCAATGCACCTTACAAATTACTGCTGGTGCCTAACTTTTGAGGTTTTCTCTAGTTGTTGTCAATGGAGCTGCTCCTGGATTGGACAAACGGACTCCTGAATTCCATATTAATGTGTCCAGCCCTGGCCTAACTAAATACATTGCTTCATCGTTTCTTCTTTTGATGTGTTACTGGAAAAAAATATATTTTATATTACACTAGAACTGGACATATAGACACAGCCAGACGTGATAATATGTGTGCTTTGGAAAGCTATAAAGGAGCTCATGGTTTAAAGAGCAGGAGATGTATGTGAATTTATAGCTGAGCCCTGGACAAACATCCTGATACCAGTTTAAATGTACACATGGGAATGTTTTTTTCCTACTGACGGATATGTAATTCTGCTCAGCTAGACTTTGTGATTCACACACCCCTGCCATACAGCACAGCAAAGCCAATGACCTCGCTTTTCTCCAGTGCAGTTAAGCAATACAACTTGGTCGCCAACCTGCCCCCATGCTGCTGATTGGACACTGAAGGAACAACAAGATACTTCCTGTCAGCATGTTTACTGTCAACATATGTGCACTGCAACAGAGCCTGATTGGTTCCTAGTACTTACGCTTAAGGTGCCCATACACCTGCCGATTATTTCGTATGATAATCGCGGGAAGTCCCACGATCGGCAAGCGCACACTGCACGTTCAGCATTGCAGTAATTGGAAGCCCGCCCCCCAGCGGGGCGGTCTTGCGATGATCGCAAGTACGATCTGCCTGTCCAAGATGGGCAGATCGTACGCTTTTTATTTACCTTACAACCATCGCAAGAAAAAAGTCTTGCGATGGTTGTAAGGTGTATGGCCAGCTTTAAGGTGCCCATACACCTGCCGATTATCGTACGATAATCGTGGGTGATCCCCCGATCGTATGATAATCAGCAGGTGTACGGAAAGCGGGTGACCGTTTCTACTGTAAGGTCGCACGTCTTTTGTCTCCCGAGCAGGCTTGAAAACCCGCCGAAAATCGCAGTGGCGCTCTCTGGAGACAAATGCCGCACGGGCCGGTGGACGCATGCACACACTGCCCGCTCAGCATTGGAATCAGATGGGAAAAGATGGGCAGATCGTACGAGCTTTTAATTACCTTACAACCATCCCAGGATGAAAGTCGTGCGATGGTTGTAAGGTGTATGGGCACCTTTTACACTCGCCATACACAGGCTCAATTCTTTTCATTCACCTGCAGGCTGAAAAAAATCTGACAGATTCCGCTATTCAAACTAAACCGCATGGATAGATGAATCTCGCGCTGCAGCTATTGTATTCTGACCGTTGTGAGAGTGCCGCAGCCTACCCAAACAGTTACTGCAGCTGATTGGCCGAATAGAGACTGCAACCAACAATTTTGCACATGGTTTTCTGAACAAAGGATGTCTGGTGGAGGACTGCTGACAGGTTACATTTTGCTCAGTGTATGGCCAGCTTTAGTGCTGCTGTACATACATTTAATTATATTTCTTTAATTAATGTTGCCGTATCGAGCAGCTTCCGGGAAGGACAGGTGCTGCGTGTGATTTGTACGCAGCCCCTGCCCTTCTCTATGGGACTAAGCGGCCGTACGCCCCCCTACGCTCACCTCAAGTGCAGGTCCGTACGGGTGCGTGTTTCCTGGGCTCGGACGCAGACAGGATCCATCCTCTCAGCGTACAAGTACACTCACCCGCACGGACGTGCAGTGGCGGGTGAGCGTAGGGGAGCATACGGCTGCATAGTATCATAAAGAAGGACAGTGGCTGCGTACTAATCACACGCAGCACTTGTCCTTCCCGGGAGCTGTTTGATACGGCCCTGCACGCAGCACAGAGCTGTATGTGCGGGCCGATTACAGTGTGAATGAGGCCTAAACTGGTGAAAGGGATCAGCTTGATGGAAATCTTATCAAAATGTTTTTTGCAGAGCCATACAATGGTTGTGCCTTACTGCTCTTCATTACAATACAGATCTGTGAATCGAGAGACTCAAGAAAAACAATTCACTCCCTAGGTGGCTAATATATTATCCACACAGGGAGTGAATTGTTTTTAGTTACATAGTATTTGAGGTTGAATAAAGACACAGGTCCTCAAGTTCAACCTTTTGTGTGTCTGTGTGTGGTCTTAGTTTTTTTTAGAGTACCTGTACCCATGTAGCGAGTCCAACACTATTTTAATGCAGAAATGTATGTATGAAGCCACTGGTAGTCTAGTGAATGAACTACACATGTCTATATGGTATACAGTTAATATAATGCATTACTTTAAAATGAACTCACATCAATAACTAAAAAATTTAATATTTTTCCTGTAACAGACCTTTTTGTTCTCTAACTCTGATAGTTGTGTGGTTTTACCATGATTCTACTGCAGTTGATACATTTTTAACTATGTTTTCTTATCTTCAGATACACCTAATTGTCGAACACCCCCAGGTGCTACAGAAGAACAAAGAACACAGCATGATCTTATGCCCTATATTGATGACTCCCCAAGTTCCTCCCCGCAGCTCAGTGCCAAGAGTCGTGGTAGCAGAGACACCCTCTCGTCTGCATCTCTTGAGTCCAATAAATCAGTAAGTGGGCCATAATAATAAACTGAGAAGGAAAGTGATCAGTGAAGGCATAGACCTGTTTAGCCTTGTTCAGACTCTGTTGTAATGTTTAGTAGCTTCAGGTCAGGTTTGATGATGTCTGTTAATTTCTGTTTTGATATAGGAAACAACAAAGCTGATGTTTGACATAAACTGAACGGAAAATAATTGGTAGCCTAAGGGCATCCATAAAATTAATGTTGATATGCTACCACTGTTCCCTTTAAAGTCTGGAATTTCAGAACCAGAGTAAACAGTTAAAATCTCACTATGCACGTGCAGAATTTAGATTTAGTTTAGTAGAAACAATTTTTGAGAAATGGCACAATGTAAATCAGTGACAGATATTTTAGATCTGTAGATCAGGACACTTTAAAGGAGAACTATGGGGTAAGTGTTTTTCACCATAGTTCTCCTAAGGGTCACGGGAGGACATGAACTAGCGTCCTCCCCTGACCCAAAGCTCAGGGGGGGAATCCCTGTAGGGAGCTGTGAGTGACAGTCACGACTCTCTGCAGGAAGATGATCGAGAAGCGAGCCAACGACGCTATATGTTCGCCCACTTCCCGATATATTGAGCCGATGTGTGGCAGCTTCATTGTCACACGTTGGCTCGAACTATGAGGTTGAGGGAAAATCACTCACCTCATAGTTCTCCTTTAATGCTCAGTATCCTCTGGCTGCAGAGCTATTGGTTATTGTACAAATGACCCTTTTTGGTTCATATCAAATACTAGTCGCAGCGCTCTTGTTTTTGCGCTGTGAGGCCTGGTTCTCACCTGGGCTTTTTATAGCGCGTTCCTACGTGCTGTAAAACGCTCAACATGTGAAAACCAATAATTGCCTATGAGCATGCGTCCCAGCTGGACGCATTTCAGCGCGTAGGAACGTGCTGAAAAAGGCCCTACACCCAAAGAAGTATAGGAGCTTCTTTGGGGTGTATTTTCCACGCATATCCATTAGGATACTGCCAGATAGCCCTCGTAAACGCGCATTTGTCGCGCGTTTCTTTTACCGCAAATCGCGGTAAAAACGCGCGGCAAATGCGCATATTCCGTACGCCCAGATGTGAACCCAGCCTGACCGAGACTTCCAGTTTCTGTATAGTGTGGGGATGGTGTAATTCACTCTCCCCTCGTCCATTCACAAAAAGCCTTGTATTCTGTTCACAGAATATAAGGTGTTCTGTGTTTGCACCAGGGGAGAAGGGCCAGTAAACGGCAAGATCCATTCACAGAATTCGTCATCCAAAAATGTTATGCATAAGACTTTATTGTTTAAACCCCTAAAGAGTTGGAAGGAGGGAAGACATCTAAAAGGTCTACACATGGAATCTGTTCCCCAGCATTGGCTTATACAGTTCTTCTCTCCTCACAGAATGAGCTGGACCTTGAGAAGGGCCTAGAGATGAGGAAGTGGGTGCTGTCTGCAATCTTGGCAAGTGAAGAGACCTACCTTAGCCACCTCGAGGCTCTGCTCTTAGTAAGTCATTAGATATTTTGATGTTTGTGCAGTATTGTCCACAGGAACTGTATAAATAAAATAAACTGACACCGTCTTTTCTTCTGCAGCCAATGAAACCCCTTAAAGCTGCAGCAACCACCTCACAGCCGGTTCTAACCATCCAGCAGATTGAAACAATTTTCTTCAAAGTCCCAGAGTTGTATGAGATCCATAAGGAATTTTATGATGCATTGTTTCCCCGGGTGCAGAAATGGAGCCACCAGCAGAGAGTAGGCGACCTTTTCCAAAAACTGGTGAGTTTGCAGTCCAAAAATTAAATATAGAATGTCATCTGTGAGTAGTTTAATGAAAATCTGATAATTATGGTTTTAGCAGATGGTGATCTCTGATGCATTCTAATGACCAAAATGTCCTTTTAACATGGGCTAGACTTCTATAACAAGGATTTGTTTTGTCTGTTATATGACCAAATGACCATAAACAAATGAGCCTCAGGCTTTGTGGAGACGTGGATGGAGTCATTTGGAAGCATTACCAAATCTATTATCATAGTTCTCTGTGACAGATTGATGAGTGTTTTTCAATGAGTAAGGAAGGTGAAAAAATGAAAAAAGAAAGAGATATAGCTACAGTAATAGTTACACCATTCCTATCGGCCCATACAAATGTTATGGAGCCAGCAGCATGGGGGAAGCAGTACTTTTCTCTCTGCAAACCTCCACAAAAAAAAAACAGACCAGCGCCAAGTAGAAATCTCCTCCAGCCCAAAAATGCCTCCAGCAATCCAGGCCGGCCACCCCGCAACAGACGAGGGGATGTCACTGCATAAAACAAAGAGCAGTCAGAAGGCAATCCAAAAAAAGGCACCCGGTGTTTTTGTTTTTTTGAAATATGCAAACCTGTATGAGATTGCTGCATATGCAATAGCAGGCTGGATCATTATTTACCCTTTTAGAATGGTCCAGGTCTCTGTACCAAGACTGCCTTTAAAGTAGATCTAAAGTTTAAAAATAAACTATGCACAGTCTGATAGGTGACTAAACAACATAGCAGAAATTGCAATAGATTGTCCAACTCCAAGTCTTAAAGTCGCCTGTTGCCGATCCAGCAAGATATGGCTGACAAGATCACATAGCCAAGTGGGCCTGAGAATGTGCTCTGCGCTCTCCATTCACACCAATGGAGAGTTAGTTCTCCCATGGATAGTTAGCTGAAGTGCCATTGGAAAGAATGAGAGTGCAGAGTGTATGTGCAGGCCACGGACATTTTGGCGAGATGCTCTGTGATCTAGTCAACGATACCTAGGTGGATCCGGGGACAGGTCAGAATAAGACTGAAAGGGGGTGGACACACACGATATAGGTGAAAATGTTCCAAAGTTCAAAAAGTCTTCAAAGATTTCTTCCTTTATGCTCCCCAGCCCAAAAGCCTGACTGTAATGGTTTTGGTGGGGTCCTTTGATTTATAATTGTATACCTGTATGGGTCAAAGGATAATTTTTCTAAAGTCGGGGTAGCCCAACTGTGGCCCTCCAGCTGTGGTGAGACTACAAATTCCATTAGACATTGCAAGAGAGCCACAGGCATGACTCCCAGAGTAAGATGCATGATGGCATTTGTAGTTTCGCCACAGCTGGACGGTCAAATTTTGGCTACCCCTGTTGTAGGGGGACCGCTAGGCTTGAAACAACCTTGACTGATTCCTGCATTCATATTGCTCTTCTGTGGTTTATTCTCAATGCATATTTGTTCATTTGTAATTTTTATGTGACTTTTTTGTCTTAACTCTTCACTTTGCATTTTTTATTTATTCTTTCCTGCTTTTCAGGCCAGTCAGCTGGGTGTATATCGCGCCTTTGTTGACAACTATGAGGTTGCCATGGAGACAGCGGAGAAATGTTGTCAGGCCAATGCTCAGTTTGCAGAAATTTCAGAGGTGCGAGCATCTTTAATTTTGTTGCACATACATTACACAAATATAACAACATAAAAGGCACAACGTTAGAAAATACCAAAGCTGCTTTTGTAACTATGTGGCGATGCTTATCCTCTTTTTGTATAAAACAACTGAAGTACATTTGTACGTCGCTACAAGTGTTGTGCCTTTATGTGATTGATGGCACATATATGAAAAATAAAGCATACCTTTTGATGCATTTCTGATGTACAAGTCCATATATCTGAGTGTAAAGAATGCTCCCACTTTTATTACTATAGAATTTACATAGCGCCAACACTTTGTGCAGAATGCAAAATGGAGGGAGACCGTACAGTTAGAATACAATTTCAATACAGGAGGGGTTAGGAGGGCCCTGCTCTTGAGAGCTTACAATTTAGTAGGAGGGGCAAGTGATACAAAAGGTAATAGTTGTGTGGGATGAGCGAATGGTAGAAGTAAAAGGACCGTTATTATGTGGGATAGGCTTCGCTGAAGAGATGAGTTTTTAAAGATCACCTAAAGATGGACATAGTAGAAGATGAGCGGACAGATCGGGGTAGGGAGTTTCAGAGGATGTGAGACACCCTGGAGAAGCCCTGGAGGTGAGCATGGGAGGAGGTGACAAGGTTGCTGGAGAGCAGGAGGTCTTGAGAGGAGGGGAGAGGTTGGTTTGGGTGATATTTTAAGATGAGGTTGGTGATGAAGCTGGGGGCAGAGGTGTCTATGACTTTGTATGTTGTTGTTAGTATTTTGAATTTTACTCGTTGGACAAATGGGAGCCAGTGGAGAGATTGGCAAAGAGGGGTGGCAGATGCTGAACAGTTGGTGAGATGCATGAGTCTTATAGCAGCATTCATGATAAAATAAAGGGGAGGGGATAGCCTGCTAGGTGGTAGGCCAACAAGAAGGGAGTTACAGTAGTCGAGGCGAAAGAATACAAGGGAGTGAAATAGAAGCTTTGCAATGTCATTCGATAAAAAGGGGCAAATTATGGCAACGTTATTTAAAGAATAGAAGCCCTCTGCTAGTCCCCAGTATTATCCACCAGCAGACATCTCTTCGCTATAATGGTAACTGCTCCTAGTTTTGCATCAGACAGCGTTTTTTGGCTTGGCTGAAAGCTGACCCAGATCCTAATAACAGACCCCCAGGGTAGGTACTGTGTAGATAAAATGGGCAGCTGAGTAACAGCTCTGCCCTCCAGACAAGTATTTACAGCTGAAAATATTTACTAGAACTTGCTTGTTGGAAAGGGACCATTATTTATTTAGTGTACACTATATAATGTCAAACCACTTTCGTAAAGGGGAAATATATTTAGAGATCACTCATATGTAAAAATTACAATATAAAATCAAAATGTACGCTATGTTTAGCCTTTTAGATAAATACAAATTAGTCAAAATGTAAGGAATAAGTGTAATGTAAGTGATAAGTGTATTTAAACCCAAACTCCTACGTATATGAAGAAAATCGCTTTTTAGCCCTTGTAACCAGAAGTGCATTGCAATAAAAGGAGAATGGTCACCTTAGTAAGACCTGACAAGGTCAGAATTAGTCATTGTTAACTCTAAATTGACAAGCAGTAAAGACTCTTAAAGCGTCGCCTATGGGCAATTTTGGGTACCGTAGTTTCACAGACGCATACAATTTTAAGGCTCGCCATGTTTGGCATCTATTTACCTGACACAACCCCATCTCTTTATATTTTACCCCCCAAAAATGGGTAATATATTGTGTTTGTGTGTATTACATTCATTTTAGTGTAATTCTTGCTAAAATTATCAATTGGATAAACATTTGCACAAATATCATGCAAGATCACAAATTAGCACTAGCATTTTTTTTTATCCTGCAGGGCCTCTGGCTTTAGAAAACACATAATTGTTTGGGGGTTTAAAACTGTTTTAGAGCCAAATATTCAGATTTTAACGTGTGTGCAAAAAATAATAAATTACTCCAGTGCCGAAGTGGTTAACAATGCTTCGTAAATTTATAGACTAATTATTCACCTTTTTAAATGTTATTTTCAGAATCTGAGGGCCAGAAGCACACGTGAATCCAAAGACCAAGCGGCTAAAACCTCCCTGGAAAGTGAGTGAGCACATCAGTAAATCAGAGGGCAGGGTTGGCATTTGAAGCTCCTTTCTAAGGCTAGATTGTGATTAAATTGGCAAATTTATTGGATAGTGTTGGGTGTGACATCCTGTCTGTGCTGTAATGGTAAAAATGTGCCACCCTGTCTGCTCTTTGTCTCCAGCACTACTCTACAAGCCAGTGGACCGTGTTACGCGGAGTACACTCGTTCTGCATGTGAGTGCCATATTTGTATTAATATAATAAGGTCTTCAATATCTATCCTTCTTGCATTATCTGAACACAGCCATGACATGCACTTTATATGTCAAATGAAAGTATGGGCAAAATAAAAATGACATATATAATTATGTCTGTCATCTGCAATAACACATCATTTGTTGCTGTCCTACAATAGAATAGTTTTTTTTACCTGTTGATCCTGTCATTGGATCTGTTATTCTTACCTCCTGTAAAAGGCTGACAACACTGAAAAGGCACAGCAGTGTACTCAGTGCGGTGTCAGCAGCCTTATATAGTGTGCTGCAGGGACTTAGCTGTGAGACATGATTGGGCAGAGTCATCGTGACTCTGCCCAATCATGGCTCTATATTTGTACTGAGCCCTGATTGGCACAGTCTTGCACCTGACCTTTGGTCAGGTGCAGGACTGTAGCCAATTGCCGCTTCGGACGGCGCAGTGCATTGTGGGATGTGCCGCGGTCGAACAGACCGCGGACATCCCATAATGTTCGGTGTTCGGCGAACGCTCGAACATGCTATGTTCGAGTCGAACATAGGTTCGACTCGAACGCGAAGCTCATCCCTACTCAGGGTAGTCTGAGGGAGACATGTAGTTTTAAATGGACTTTAAGTAAGAGAAAAGCAGATGATAGCCAACCTTCATCTAACACTTTAAAGCAGTGTAAACCATATAACTAAAAACTGACTGTTGTAACCCCCCTAATCAGGGTTATATTCGTTGTCCTAACGCCTGCAACCCCACTTTTGCTGGACAGCTTGGCCTTTTAAAGGAAGTGGGAAAAAATGACAGCTCTACAGGCAGGATCAGCAGGAAATTAATAGAATAATGTTATGGGGACTCATAAATTGCTGTGTATTGCTCATGATTTTACCTATAGTAGCATGTAACTAATGGGCTGCTACTATGTGGCTTTATGAGTGCTGTGATTTGCACGTATTCATTCTTTAGTTGTTAAAAGTGTTTTAGACTACCTTGACACTTTTTAAATTGTATTTCCAGGACCTACTGAAGCACACACCCACCAGCCATCCGGATTACCCCCTGCTCCAAGATGCACTCCGCATTTCCCAGAACTTCCTGTCTAGCATCAATGAAGAGATCACTCCGAGGCGACAGTCAATGACTGTGCAGAAGGGAGAGGTGAGTGGCACACCTTTGGTGGGTGCAGGGTTTCTGTTAGGGAGCAGAGGTTATGATTATCACACAATTGGAAACATCATTAGAGGAATTAGAGAAAAGTTAAAACAAATCTAATAACTAGTATTTAAAAGTGGTCTTTTGAAATGTGTATGAGTATCCTACATGTTAAATCAAGGAGCATGCTGATAGGGTGAGTTGGGGGGAGAGATGAGCTCATCAGTCTGCTACTTTTCCTTACACTGTTAAGTCACAGGCTGAGGAGTCATATCACCTATAAGAGCTGCTTCTGCAGCTGAGAATAGTAGTTTCCTGCCCTGCCAGACAGGACTGATCTGTGTGGCATAGCTGTGTAAATCTCAGGACTGGATGGGCAGAAATACAAATCCCTTGGCAGGTAAAAGAGTACCTATATATGTATTTGGTCTGTGTGTTTAGCTGTTTACCTGGAGTTCAGCATTAACTGTTTTTAAAGTGGTGTCAAGAGGTTCAGTTTATATCCTGGTAACTCCAAAACCTATTTTCAAATTTTATTGGAACTCATAATAAAGGGTCTGTGCTATCCTACATCAAAGTTGGATAGAATGCCATCAGACATGTTGGTAAATAAACTAGAGTGCACCGATACCATTTTTTCCCAGACCAAGTACTGATACTTTTCCTTAAGTACTCATCGATACCAATTACCGATACTTTTTCTTGGTGTCATGTGACAGTTTTTCTAAAGCAATGAATTTAGGACAGTGGTAGAGTGCCTGGGCCTGGTCTCAGCTGCGACCCTGGTGGTTCTGCTACTGACTCCAAGCTGAGGGACTACAAATCTCAGCAATACATTATACAGCAATGCAGAATACCATTAGCTATAGAGGACTACAAATCCCAGCAATACATTATACATCAATGCAGAATAATATGATCAGCTATAGAAGGCTACAAATCCCTGCAATACATTATACAGCAATGCAGAATAATATGTATATAGTATATGAATTTGCTACATACTCTGTGCTGCCGCTCTGCTCCTGGGTGCCAGCCTGATGTCTCGGACGGAGGCTCCCAGGAGGTGGAGATGTGAATACCGGCGGGAAGCACTGTAAACAGGTGCTGCTTGGTTCCCGAGTAGGCTGCCGTGAGGACCCGGCAAGCGCGGGAGCTCAGATAGGCGCTTCCATTCCACTTCAGTTTTTGGTATCAGGGCATTTTCAGAGTATGAGTACTCGTGAAAATGCCCAGTATCAGCACCGATACTGGTATTGGTGCATCCTTAAAATGAACCCAAAGATTTCTTTTTTTCCTGGGCCTCACGTGTGGTCATATTCTGAATACAGTACATAGACGTATGGCGCACATACACACTCAATGGCTACTTTATTAGGTACACATTATTATTGTAGGTCACATTATTATAGTAGGTCACACAACCTCTTTTCAATCAATAAAGCATGCAGTCAAGAGGATCAGTGGTTATCCAAATCCTAGAATGAGTAGGATAGTCTAAATGCATTTTCCTGTGGAATGGTTTATGGTGCCTGAAGTGGTTCTTGTAGCATGTCAGATATTGCTGACCTCTTGGGACTTTCACTAAAGTCTGAAGAGTTTACAGAAAATGATGCAAAAAACATCCATGTAGCCAGAGATTACCATTCTAATGAGAGAGGTCAAAAGAGGATTGCCACACTTGTTCACATTAAAAGGAAATCACCAGCCACCATTGACAAGAGTGGGTTGTACAAGGCATGCCTGATCACATAACACCATTAAAAGTGGTCAGGCTACAGCAGCAGAAAACAAATCTGGACTCAACCTCTGCCACCAAAGAACAGAAAAATGCAGCTGACAATTGGTAGTATACAGATGTTATTCATTTATATAATCCTTTTACTTTGCAGCATCGACAGCTCTTGAAAGACAGTTTCATGGTTGAACTCGTTGAGGGTGCCCGAAAACTGCGCCATGTCTTCCTTTTTACCGACCTTCTCCTTTGCGCCAAATTGAAAAAACAAATAGGAGGGTAAGAGGACACAATTCAGTAAAGTAGGCTTTCCACCATCCACCACTTATTTGAGCTGTTTATGGACCCTTGCGATAATATCATCTTTCTTTTTCACTCCAGGAAAAGCCAGCAGTATGACTGTAAGTGGTACATTCCGTTAGCAGACCTGACCTTCCAGCCTATGGATGAGTCCGAAGCTGCTGCCAACATTCCTCTGATACAGGATGATGAGTTAGAAGCAATGAAAGTGAAAATATCCCAGCTGAAGAGTGATATCCAGAGGGAAAGAGTAAGTTGGGTGTGCTGTATAGAGATAAGTTAACTACATTATATGTGTTGTCAGGATATTGGAAATACACGGCACACTTGAAATAATTGAAGGAAACCGTATGACGATAGTTTTGGGTAGATAATGTTATGACTTTAAATGTAAACTATTTTTTATTGTGGGGCAATGAACCATTGCAAGACTTGAATTCAGTTATAGAATTACAGCCATGCTCTTCCATTTGTGTAAATGCAGTTAATGTAAGGGGGATCTCCAGTTCTGCTGTCTCGTTTGTTCCTGCGCCATCCTGCCTCATCCTGTTTAATACGATGTGCTAGGATGATCATGGATTTCCATGGTAGACTTGGTTTGTGAAGGCTTGTTTATATTGAAATTGGTGACAAAGCTTTGTAAATGGGTAGTGTGGAATCTAAACCCCACAAGTCCCCGAAAGCTGCACACCGTTCACTCTGTCCTACAGCAGACATGAAGCCCCTTCTCCAAGTAGCACCTGTCAACTTACAAACTCTCCCTACCACACACTGTCTGCAGACAATGCCAATGCACGCCTTTTCCTAAATGAAAGTAGTACAACCTTTTCCCTGAATTTAGAGGGATTTGGTAAGTATAGAAATCTGGGGACTGCTATTGTTAGCTCATATTGAAGTTTAAAACTTGTAGGGTTAACATTGTTCTTCTTCCTAACTACTTTTTGAGCCAGTGACCTCGATTTGAGCATCAGGTGATATAAATATGCTTGTTAGGGTCAGTGATTCACAAAGCAGTGAAGTTAGAGTAGAGATGACCCTGAAGCCTTAACTTTTAAAACAAGTCAATAGTGAGAGATCCCATATTTTTAGTCTAAAGGTTTCCTTTTAAACAAGGCAGAATATTTGAGCGGAGAGTTGCTACTACCTTTGTCAGAACCAGGCTGTGAATGTGGAAAAAGCCCAGTGCTTGACCAACTCTGATCTGTGATTGAAAGTATGGTGATTCTGACTGCAAGTGGCCCAGCATATCTTTGTCTTGCCTATGAATCTTCCACATAGTAATTCCAGACTGTGTCAACTAACTCTGGTTGCCAGGTCACTTGTTCTCCTCATCAGTGAAACCTGGCAAATGGTTTTTGTACAACCCTTGAGTCGTTGTATTGATGAACATTTAAAATGCATAAATCTTCTTCTAGAAAGCAAACAAAGGAGGAAAAGGTCTGGATCGTCTCCGCAAGAAGCTTTCTGAGCAAGAATCAATGTTACTGTTACTCTCACCAAGCATGGCATTCCGAGCCCACAATCGCAATGGCAAGGTGGTTCTTTGTAACTTGTTTTTACTTTATTTGTCTCCTCTCTTCTCTTAATATTGATTGTATCTGCCTTGTCTTGCCTAACTGGTGCTAATCTCTCTTCTAGGGCTACACATTCCTAACATGGTCGGACTATGAGCGGGCAGAATGGGGAGAACACATACGAGACCAGCAGAAGAAATGTAAGTGTGTACCACTAGAGGTCTATGTTTTAGCCCATTCAATAAAATAGTTTGATTTTTTTTTTTTTTAATTATACATAGAAAGTTTTTTTTCTTCGCTAACAATAGGCTCTTTTTTTCCCTTTTTTCTTTTTAGGCATAAAAAGTTTCTCTCTTTCCTCACTGGAAATCCAAATGCTAACAAACTCCTGTGTGAAACTGCAAACTGTCCATAGGGTTCCTTTGACCCTGAGTAAGGAAGGTGAGAAGGATTTTCCAGTAGTTGCTGGCTTTAATGAGCAGATAATAGAATCTGGGTAAAGTGATGCCCAACTGGCACCATATCGCCTTTCTGTTCCATCTGTTGGGCCCTCCTTGGTTAGAGAAGATTAAGTAATGGTGAGCTTAGATGTAACTGTTTTTTTCACCTAATTTTAACACATTATTATATTGTCTGCAGAGTTGTGGTGGAGGGTGATGTAATTACATGCAGTGGTGGGGTCAGGGCTGTCCCGCACACTATTTTGCCGCCCGTTAGCTGGGTGGGAAGCCAGTGAGAGTGTCACAGGTTGCTAAGAGCTCTTAGCAACCTGGGACGCTATGGCCGCGTCCATAGAGAATCAACTCTTTGCGGCGTCCCGCCCAGCTCACAGATGTCACTGGTTTCCAGGAGCTCAGCTAGAAGCCAGACAGAGCGTCCACACTCACCTCTTGGCAATCGGTGACGTCCGTGAGCTGGGTGGGAAGCCAGTGAGAGTGTCACAGGTTGCTAACAGCTCTTAGCAACCTGGGACGCTATGGCCGCCCTACTGTCGCCCACCCCAAACTACCGTATACCTGATGTTTGGGGTCCCAGGTGAAATTTTTACCCTTTGAAGAAGTCAAAGTATTTTGTCGGGCCCAATTAAATATAGACATTTGCCCTTTACTTTACTCGGGGACATTGGCTACTGTATAGGAAAGTGTTTATATTTTTATAGGTTCACCGTTTTTCTTGCATGTTCTCTCTCCTAGATGATGAGTCTTCTGGCCTGTATGGTTTCTTAAATGTCATTGTCCACTCGGCCACTGGATTCCAGCAGAGCTCAAGTAAGTAAGAGTCCATGTGGCAGCTCTTATTGATAAAGCTCGTATTGAGTACAGCAGGCTCTTATTAATGAATCATGTTTTTTTTTTTTTACACTGTTGTATTTGGCTCGAACAGATTTGTTCTGTACACTGGAAGTGGATTCTTTTGGATATTTTGTTAACAAGGCAAAGACACGAGTCTACCGCAACACAACTGACCCGAGCTGGAATGAGGTAGGAATGAGTCTGCACCATATTTTGCCAAGGTTCCAATTGTTTTCTGATTGGATTATGGAGAAATATAGTATGCACACTTTATAAAATTGATTTTGTTCATATGGGAAGATATACATGATTTCATCTAGGATTTCCACTGAATGGCCTTACATGAGAATCTGGTAACAGATTATATAAGAAGAAAACAACCATAAAATCTTGTGAACAAACCCTTCAGTATAGTAAAAAAAAAATCCTAAGTGCTATGGAGAAGGGTTTAGCAAATATCTTTTTTGTAGAGACAATTAAAATGCACTACAGGTACACTTAAGTAGTAAACAAATGCCTGTGTCATGGGGTTTGGACACATGGACTTGTGTTGATGTCATCAATTTGAAATCAGCTTGAGATGCTTCTGAGATCATTCAGAGTTCATTTTTGGGTCCATCTGACTTGCAGTTGATCTCCTTCTGACCTGCAGTTGATCTGCTTTATGCAGGTTTTGCATTCCCACAACTTGTAGGAAATGAAAACCTTCTTGAGGTGAAGAAAAAGAACCTTGACACAGGCTCTATGGAAGAGTAAGCACCTTTGTATTGCTGTGTGTGACTCCCATGAGCGAGATTACCCCCAGTTCAGGCACCCATGACAACACAACTCCAAAAGTATTTCTTCAGGTTCAAAATTTTTTTTAGACAAGCAGGTGTTTACTGGGACTGGGAATGAAGACCTCATTTAAATCGGTGGTTCTCAACCTGTATAACCTCAGGACCCACATTAGTCCTAGGTCATTAAGTCGCGACCCAAGTCCCGCCACACTGGAACGCACGGCAATGGACTAACACATGTTCCGGTCCAAACTGTGGGCAGGAGGTGTGTTTCTGGTGCCATTTAAGTGAATTGCAACGCAGCACACATCCAGCACTTCCCCCACCCGAATGAACTGTAGGTGCGATTGCGTGGTAGTTTGTGATTAAACAATTAAAACAAAACATAGACAGACGCACACAACCACAGACACAATCTCACACACTCAGAGACATTCTCACACACACATACTACTTTTAGGGGTTCAGTGTGGGCTGCTGTGCTGTGACGGAGCTCCATCCATACATGCATTACTTGTACAGCTCCCTTGCACTCCCATTAGAGGTGCCGGGAGCCAGAATGTGATGGCACTCCAGTCCAGGCACCTCTAAAGGGCACGCAAGGGAGCTGTAAGCAATGCATGTATGGATGGATCCCCCTCGTGGCCATACTTCCAGCCCACCCCACCCCAAGATGACACTCGTTGCCGGGCAGCATATTTTGAATGGCTGTTCGGCACGAGAACTGACAGTACTTCACTATGGGGGAGGCCGAGGACCCTTTCACCTAGTGCAATGGAATGGAATGAACATGGGGTCGCGACCCTCACTTTTGGGTCACGACCCACCAGTTGAGAACCACGGATTTTAATCATGATACCTGTGTTACTAATAGTGGGAATTGTGGAAATATTTAACAACTAATTCTGGACTTACTGAATTAAGGTGGCCAGTATGTTTTATGTTGCTGCTGTTAGCCTGTGACTAAAATCATAACATTAAAGAAAAATACTTTTCCAGATCAAACAAATAAACACTGCCCAGCTGGCTCCCACTCTCCCAGCTCCGCTTCCCTGAAATTCCTGTCCAGTACAAGATCACAAGAAACAGAGCAGTCTCCAGAGACTGTCTTGTCTCAAGGAGAGAGGGGCAGGGTAGTGGCCTTGCTGTGCCTGGGAGTTTGTGGAGGCACACACAGCTTCCTAGCACACTCAGCAGTGGCTCCAAAGGATCCTGCAGGAGAAAGGAGCCACCCTAAAACAGGATATCAGGGTCAGTGCTCAGGGGACCAACTGATTCTGCAGGAAAACATTGTAGCATCCATTGTAAGTGATTTCATCAGTATTTGAAATAGCATAAAACTGATTTGACTTTAATATTACTTTAACAATATCAGAGGAGTATATGAAGCAGTTTGAGGCCAGTTGGTCTTGCACATACTGAAAAAAAAATCTAAGCTTCAGATTGCAGCTAAATGAAACATGTGTAAGGGAGAAGTACTACTGACACAAAAGAGAATTTTGCATACCAGGTGATTGTCCTCAAAAGCAAGAACAGGTAGACTTAATGCTAATTTCCACCTTTTGCTGAAGTATTTAAAAAAAAAACATATGCCAGCATTGTACACTGAGTGTACATGAAGCAGGCATATACAGTTGCTGCATACTAACACAGAAACTTACATTTTTTGTTAGCTTTCCTCTTTATTTCCTCATGGAAATGGCTGTAATTGTGCTTTGCAAGTAGTATGTGTGTATAGTACAAGTGAGCTCTCCAACCCTCCCCCTCCCCCCACCCCATATTTATTAATATTCATAGCGGCACCCCCACCCCTCCCCGGACAGTGTATTGTGTGCAAAGGCAGAGCTGCTGTTTACTGATCGTGTTACAATGAATAACAGGGAGGGGAAGAGCTGTTTAGAGTCTACTTTACATCCGAACCCAGTGTCAGACTGAGTTTCCTGTGGAATACATTTTTAATTTTTAGGCTTCAGTACAAGTATACATCATCACTGCACCTCTACATTAGCACAATGAATGCAAATTACTTACAGAGGTGGAAATGGACTTTAAAACAACTCTGCATCTGATCACAAGTATGTCAGGCTAATGTCAGTGTGGGGAAAAAACAACTTCTTCTGCCTGAAATATACCAAACTATTTGAGCAATGAACATGTTTATCTGACTGTGATTTAAAAACAAAGAAGAGTTAAAGGAAACCTGTACAAAAAATAATGTGTTACTCTATTTCTGAAAACTATTTATCTGTGTATCCCTATTATTAAAGTGGACCTGATCCCAAAAAGTGAACATTTGCTGTGTTATAGGGAACATCTAATATAAATTGTGCCTAAGCCGAACTCTTTCACTTGAAATTCCTCCTAAAATATAACTGAGCACTTCTGCACCTTGACACTCCTGTGCCTACAGCCCTATAGCTGTATATTTGCATTGTCAGATCTAAGGGATTGTACTAATGACTGCTGGTCTCACAAGATTCAGAGATACTGACCATTATGCTTCTCACCCTTCTCCTTGCTGGAGAGAAAGATGTACATATGGACCTGCATCTCCCAGCACTTGATTTATTCTGGGAATTGTGCACCTCTACCACTGCTTCTTGAACCTTACCCCACCATTCATCAGATTATAAGGGGGGCAGCTGTGACCTAAGGAAGCAAAGCCCTCCCTCTACCAAGATGGTCACACAGAGACATTGCAAAACAAGGTAAAAGATCAGCTACAGGAAGACCCCAGGCATCACTGGTGACTTGCCCTTTGCCTTTTTTTGGACACAGCTTGCTCAGTTGAGGTCCTTATTAATAATTTAAGTGTCACTAACCCAGGACAAGCATAAAGCTAGTGGAGGTAGAGGAAACTCAGTGTATGTATGTCTACTTTTCACTGCTCTAAAAGGCAAAACAAGTCGTATATACAAGTTACACAGTAACAGCCACTACAAAGACATTTTTCCTGGGTGCTTCTAGAAATTGTCATCACAATAAAAAAAATGCCAACAAGTTCTTTCAATTTATTGTGTGCTATTGCTTTGTTTACACATAGGAATTTGAAATTGAACTTGAGGGATCTCAGACACTGCGCATACTTTGCTATGAAAAGTTCTACAATAAAAACCGGCCACTGAGGGAAGATGGAGGGGAATGTAGTGAACGCATGGTGGCAAAAGGTCAAGTACAGGTAAGAATGGTGGCACATTGACTGCAAATTTAAGGAATAAGGAAACAGTTAGTTCAGTAAATAATGTTTTAATATATACTATGGCGGAGAATTATCAATCTTGCTGTATAACAGGTGTCTCAAATGCAAAATCTACCGGATATCCTTACTTAATGAGAGGCAGCTAGTTTTGAACTTAAACTGTGTCTTCTGCTGTCAATAACTTGCTTGACAAATCTACTATTATGTCTTTATATCTCCCTCTAAGCTGGAGCCAATTTACCAAAATCTTAGAAAGTGCTCTTGGAGCCCTACTTTTTAAAAGATTTCTTTAATTTCTGTCAAAGAACATTTTTATGGTGTGACATCTATTTTTATGAACAAGCTGGTCCTTGACCTCTATAGTGTTTAGCCTACCGTGCCCTGACCAACTTTGTTTTGGCTTTCATTTTAGCTGGACCCTCACATGGTCATGGGAAAGGATTGGCAACGCTCAGTTGTCTCTATGAATGGGGTAAGTAGCAGATCTTAGTGAATTTTGACAAATTCAGATATGGATACATTTGCTCCCCACAAGTTGGATTTCATGGCACATACCCACTTTTCAGATTTTTTTTGTACCTCTGTGTAGCTCTGAATGCATCTCACCCCCATCCATGGATACTATTTTCTCTATAGATAGAAGTCAAGCTGTCGCTGAAATTCACAAGTCGAGAGTTCAGCCTGAAGCGCCTTCCCTCACGAAAACAGACTGGAGTGTTTGGAGTTAAAATTAGCGTTGTAACCAAGTAAGTTATTCTTGTAGACTGAAATACACATTTCCATTTTCATCCTTTTGATGAGAAATATTTATCTATGCATAGCTCAGATTCACATAAATGTTGTTTCCTCAGGAGGGAGCGTTCAAAGGTGCCATATATAGTGAGGCAGTGTTTGGAGGAGATCGAGAGACGTGGCATGGAAGAAGTTGGAATCTACCGGGTATCAGGGGTAGCCACTGACATTCAAGCCCTGAAGAATGCATTTGATTCAAGTAAATGTACATGTACGCATGTAAATCTAGTTAGGCACATGGCCAGTGAATATATCTCAGACCCCAATAAAGTAAAAACAAATTAGACATGCAGTTTGTACTAACAACCTCAATTCTCATAGTCCTACCTCCACTTCCTGTTACATCAGTTGAGCAATGTTGAAATGTGACTGTGTAGTCCAGTAGGCACCAGAGTCAGACCTAGTACACTCAGTACCCCCCACTGTTTCCCTTCAATACAAGTCTGTGTGCTGTGGTTTGTGGCTTATGCTCAGCTGTGCTAGCACGGAGCACTGCAGTGGGAGGGCAGGATTCAGCATTTACAGTGATAGAGGAAAAGGTATTTAAAGACATTTCCAGGCAAAAATCAGTCCTAAATCATGACTGATTTGGGGGAAGGGCGGTACAGGGCTATAAAGCGATAAAAAGGTGCGAGACTGTAGTTTTAAGAGAATAGAGGTCAGAACTGCAGAGCATAACCACAAAAAAATGATGGTGTATAAGGAACAAGTTGGGTGAATTATAGTAGCTGGCATTGAAACCCTTTAGGGACAACATTGAAAGAGAAACAGTTGTAGATTGTGAATGGCTTTGTCACATTGTTTTATGTCTGTGAAGGTTCTCATTTATACAGGTCATGGTATATCTGTAAAAAAAAAAAAAAAAAAATCAAGGCACCTGTACTTGTTGTATTTTTCTTGAAGATGTTTCACTGGTCATCCGACCAGCTTTCTCAATTCAGAATTGTTTTCACATTGTTTTAGATTCCTTTTTTAATCTTACAATACTGAGTAAATTAGCAGTGATAACTAACACAATGGTGGTATGACGTGTGCACATGGTAACTAGTTGTTTTTTTTAAATCTCTTTCTCTTTAGATAACAAAGATGTGTCTGTTATGATGAGTGACATGGATGTCAATGCCATTGCTGGAACCCTCAAGTTGTATTTTCGGGAACTCCCGGCACCACTCTTCACAGATGAACTATATCCCAACTTTGTTGAAGGAATTGGTAAGGCTCAGTAATTCATCTTTAAATATTGTTTTTTTTATTGTTTGAGATTTATTTTAAAAAATATATATAATACCCGTTTTTTCCAGCCCCATTGATTAAGTTGTTATTTTTCTTTTAGCATTATCTGATCCTGTGGCCAAAGAGAGCTGTATGTTGAATTTGCTGTTGTCTCTGCCAGAGCCCAGCCTACTCACTTTCCTGTTCCTCCTGGACCACCTGAAAAGGTAACGTGGGAATGCTGTACATAATCCTATCATCTGATTATAATCATATGGCTGGGTACAATATCATCACAGGGATTTGGTAAAGCCGCATATGGGCAGATGTAGGAGCTAGGAGATGGAATGACGGTTTCTAAACATACCCCATATATATGTCATGGGAGACCATTTTGCACCTACAACAGCAAAAAAGGAAGCTTAATGGCCTACAGCACTGAACTTCCACTACAAAGACATGTAGTGCAGTTTTTGGTAAATCTAAAGGAGATTGTACTGTGTGGGGCGACCTTTAATTGTTTATGTATTGTAACAGTTTTTTCTTTATTTTTATATACAATATTTGTCGTACAAATAAACATTTAATACACGATAAAGGATTTAAAGAGCATTATGATTTGTTTAATGAGCGAGCACAGCACACATTACCTCCGTAATAAAAGCTTGGAGGGAACCCTGCATGCCTACATGGAGACTCATTACCTTTTGTGTGTAAAGTTTAGCTTGAGTTACTGAGCTCTGTAAACAGGCTTTTTGCAACATAGAAGCAAACAGATAGTAAAAGCATGTGAAAAGGAGCCTAAAGCTCAACCTTCTGGCTGGATAAAATACATATTCTTAAATTAGATGTAAACTGAATCAGTAAAATCTTATAAGCTTCAACATGCTTTTGCAAATTCAAATGTTATTTATAGAGGTGCACCGAAATGGAAATTTCAAAACCAAAACGAAACCGAAATTTTAAAAAATTAAAAACGGAAAATGTTTTTTATTTTCATTTTTAAAAATATTTTATTTATTTTTTATAAACTTTTTTATTTTTTTATTCATTTTTTAATTAAATATTTCTATTTTTTACTTTACTTTTAGGGGCTTTGGGGAAATATTAGGGATCTAAACAGACCCCTGATATTTCCCTTTTAAAATAAAAAAAGAGATTGAGAACACAAAGTCCCCAATCTCTTTTTCTGTATCCCATGTTATCAATGAACAGGAATCCTCTATACTGAGTGTTCCTGTTCATTCATAACTTGGAGATAGTATGTTTACTATAACCACAATCACGATGTGATGGACATCACTCCCATTCATTCATAATTGAGGATATAGTAACCATACCATGTCCTCAATTATATACAAACACTCAGCGAGTGTTTGTATCTCGCGCTCCTCTCTGACACGTTGTCACAGGAGGCTGAGCGAGCGGTGCAGAGAGGAGAGCTCAGCCTCCTGTGACAGCGCGGTCTGTCTCTGCCCACACACCGCTATGCCGCGTGGAGAAAGGAGGCTGAGCGGTGTGGGATGAGAGACCCGGCCGCTCACATCGCTCTCCTCCCGCAGTGCTCGACCGGCAGTTTCTCTCCTCCCCGCTGGGACACAGAGCAGCGCCCAGCGGGGAGGAAAGAAAGCAGGTATGCGCCACTGTATCGGCAAAAAAATTGCACTTTCGGCATTTAGACAAAACTAGCCATTTTCGCCCGATATGTTGAGGCGGCCGATATATCGGTGCATCCCTAGTTATTTACTATATATTTACATTTTCAGCTTTCATTAAAAAAATATTTGTAGATCCTGTCCTGAAGGTTCCTGTTCAGAAACTTCATGTTGAATGGTGACATTGCACTGTCCCTGTCCCCCAATTGTGCTTCTATGCTGGCACCCTGCAGGGGTTTCCAGGGAAGACTACAAGTGACCGTTTCCACACCCATTATGCAGGCATTGTCCACTGTTGTCACTAACAGCAAACCCGCCCTAAGAAATGCCATGCAGCCATGACTGGGGTGTATGCAAGTAGGCCGGAAGTGACTACAAATAGTTTGCAGGAGATTGGCATCAATGAGATGCAACAAAGAATGAAAGGTGAAAACAAGTTTTCTAACATCTCTTATTTAATATAGGGTGGCCGAGAAGGAGGGTCAGAATAAGATGTCCCTGCATAACCTGGCTACTGTGTTTGGCCCAACCCTGCTGAGGCCATCTGAGAAAAACAGCAAAATTCCCACCAATCCTACGCAGCCAATCAGCATGGCCGACAGTTGGAGTCTGGAAGTCATGTCACAGGTATCTTTTAACCCTTTGTATTCCGATATGTTTTATACTATTGGAAGAAAAACGTGACCTGCTGAAAATGTAACACATTTTGTATAGCACTCTAGAATTTAAATGACTTCTATTATAACACTGGAAATATGCATCCTGTCCAGCAGGAAATGTTCAGATAGTGAATTGTAATTGCTGCAGACTGCAGGAATATTTGGAATATTTAGTATACAGTCTATCAGGTATTGTGCATTTTTGAAATCAATGATAACATGTAAAAATAGCTCTTTTTTTATATTCTATACTCCTTTTGGCATTAAACACCATTTGAGGCATACAAGGCAGTCTGTTGTCATATAGATATTAACATCTAGTCATTCAGAAGCAGTCCGTGAGACACAACCACATTTTTTAATCAGGTAATCCATAATATAGAATGGAAAATGAATCTCAAATACTGACAAAAGAGTTCCAAGGACAAAGTCTTCAGATGTAAGATGTTCACATTTGTATGGTAAATAGCCTGAAGAAAAAGGCAACTTATGTCCACAAATACTGAAACAGACCCAGTTGGCTGCATAGCATAAAATTGCCATGACCCACATTTTAATCTCATGAATAAAAGGAGCACAGATGACAGAAACTACAATATGAGTCCAGCAGTTCCATTTTGTACAGATTCTCCTGCCAATGATCTGACTCTGCCAAATATGGCCATGTGGCCATATAAGGTCATAATGATGTCACAAGCATTCTGCCTCTTTGTTTACATGCAGTTGTGGGGCAGATGCCAGGGCCGCAGCTGATTAGGCTGTCACTGACAGCTCCCTTCCAGGTTCAGACAAACTCAAGTTCGAACAAAACCTAAACTCTGGCATTTTACCTGGGAACCCAGCTGACCGTATATACTCCCTACTGGCATTCCTTACAAGATTAACATGAGGCACTGTGGAATATTTTCTTATGCCCAAGATTCTGGGACAATTTACTCTGGATGCCAGCGAGATCAATTTTTGTCCTATGAAATGAAGACATTTGCTGCAGAAATTCCTGATAGGGCTATAGACCTGTATGCACAATAGCTAGTGGATTTATGGACACACCACTCAACTTAAGTCACCCTTTGGCTCATTCTACAAAACATGGAATTGTTTCATATGCATTGTTATCAGCATAACTAGTCTTCAACTTTAGAGGTGGGTGACTGTTTATGCAAGTTTTATAGACCAATATATATGCAGGTGTTTTGCACTTTGCTCTATCATCACTTTATGAAGTGCCTAGTCCTGGTAAGGGACTAGGCACTTTATAGACCAATATACAACATATGCAAGTTTTTATTCAAGTGTTTGAACTTCATTCTATCATCAATTTATGAACTGCCGCTTCATGCTCGGGATACTTTACAAGGATCATAGACCAATATGCATTCAACTTGGGTGTTTCGTTGATTCTGTGTCATCAATCATTAATTTTCTGAGTATCTGTGCAACGCGGAACTGCACTTGCATGGTGGTGTCTGCAATTTGTGGTCCTTTTATTCATGAGATCAAAATGTGGCCCATGGTGATTCTGTACTATGCATCCAGCTGGGTCTAGTTCAATATTTGTGGACATTAGTTGCCTTTTTCTTACCATGCAAACAGTAGATATCTCACATCTGTCAGCTATACTAGGAGATCTTTTCCTTGGAACCTATTTTGTCAGTATTTGGGATCCATTTTCACTGTGTTTATGTTCGGACTCTAGTAAGGACTCTATATTGGGAATTAATAAGAGGATAAATGGCAAAACTTTGTCTGTACTTTGACAGACTTTGTCTTCTATGTCCGATATTGTATTTAGTGCCAAAAGAAGTATATAATATAAAATAGCGGCTATTTTGACATGTTATCTTTGATTAACCTCTTGCCGTCCGCCCGTAGTAAAAAAACGGACGGACGGCACTGCAGCATCTGCGGGTTGCCGTCTCCTAATTCATTTCAGTACAGCGCTGCATGACGGAATAAATGTCAGTTAAAGTACCGCAGCGCTGAATACTGAAAAATGGCCTGGATGGGAAGGGGGTTTAACACCGCGGATGTCAACTGGTTAAAATTATATTCTAAAAATATATAGATAAAAATATTTTTTTTTAAATGTCAATACTTTGTTAGAACCCCAGAGTGTTTGAACACGTATGTTTCTGGCTATATGCTAATTTTTAATCACCTTATTAAAATCTTTTTTTTTATGATTTCGATACTGTGTTCCCATATAACACACGCACACACACACGTATGTATAAAATACCTGATAAATACTTCCTGTTGAGTGGGCACACAGTTGTTATAAGTTTAAAAGGAACTTACCATAAGCAATTTTAATATTTAGTATACAACTGTACACACACCTACAGCAGTCAGTAAAATGTGTCACTGAATGCAGCTTATACTTCAGAAATCTGCACAGACATACCCATTTAGATCCTGTAAGGACCACACAGCACAGGCATATATACTCCTTAATTGTCATCAGTGAACCCCTGTGCACTATTTTCAAAAAACCCAATGTACAACATATCCTTTATATTGTAAACGCTGAGCCAATAACATACCATCGTTTGCAGATGTCTTCTGCATACAAAGAGAACGCACGTGCTAAGTGCTGAGCCCTTTCACCTTCTTCCTTCAGTGCACTAGTGGTCTGAGCCAGCTCAGATACAGGCTGGGTACCCTGTCCCTGATCTATATACAATGAACAGTGAAGAGGCTTCAGGAGTCTAATAGACTTCTTATGTCTCGGTAAAGAGCCGATCAGCAGAGTAGCAAAAACTGAAAAATAATAATTTAGCAAGTAAAAAAAAAATGTATCCTGTAACCTGTCCTCCCTCACTTTCCACAGCAGTCCCTTTTGGAAGGGTGTTTTTTTTTTTATCCCGGAGTTCTGCTTTACTCCTAATAACTGCTCCATAGTCCGGTTTCAGTCATATGCCTTGCAGTACAAAACTTGTCAGCCGTGTAGAAGAACACTTTAAACTTGGAACTTGATTTGTATATATGATTTTGTCAACAAGCTTAGGGTAATCTTGTAGAGCCATCACAGCTTTTGCAGTATTAGTATTATTTGGGCTATTAAGGGACCACTGTCAGAACAGAATTGTATTTGGATACCTATATATGGTTAATACATGTCATCATAGTATTCAGTACAGTATATGAATTCCTTTATTATTTCACGTGCCTTTTATTTGTAGTTTTCTCCACATTGACATGCAGGCCAAGCTGTTCAGGAAAAGTGACAGTAAAAAGGGTTGGGGCAAGCTAAAACACTGCCTGAGTTGCTAACATTCATTACCTGTTATTCATTTAGTTGAAAGCTTCTGCAACTGCTGAAGTCCCCCAACTGTGCTATAGATATTCCCAACCACTAACCTTGTCACTTTTGTTCAACAGCTGGCACACAGATAATGACATAAATGGGAGATTTAAAAAAATAATTAGTATACTAAGTACTATCATAACGTGTATAAACCGCATACAAATATTAGAATACAACTTGTTTCATGATGGGGGTTCTTTAAATGTAATGGTGTTATCCCCTACCTATATTGCGGCAACACTGTTTTAGCTGTACTAATTGCCCTTAAATAATTGTATCCAAAAACACATTTACAAACTTGCATTTTGGGGTTCTTTGTATTCATCCCCTTTATTTCCATCCTAGTAGCGTGCCCTCCAATATTCTCCTACACATAATAGGCTCGATCCAAAATGGTCCTGGAGCCTTTAGAATCAGATACATCTGGTGTGCTGGCTAAATAAATAAATTCCGCTCTCTAGTGCTTGTCACTGATAGCGGACACTAGACTGAGCATAGTTTCCCATGAATCAGTCCTGTATTTGAATTCTGAGTCCTGCCATGTGCCACCTACAGCAAGGATGTGTATCACCAGTGGGAGACTTCCCATGCTTAGGTCTGTGGAATCGTCTGTCTTTTTATGGAATACATAATTGAAATCATATTTGGCTTTATCCTGATTTTTATTTGTGTAAGCATTTTCTTAATACCATCTTGAACTGTCTTTCAGGTGCAGGTTCTGTTGTACTTTCTACAACTTGACACCATTCCTACCCCGGACAGCAAACGTCAAAGCATTCTCTTTTCCACCGAAGTGTGATGTACTGCGGCGGCTTATGAAGAAGGCACACCGCCTCTGTAGATCACTTAATTAGCCTGTAATCAGTGCAGGGTGAGGTATAGGAGGGGGGGTAGATTCCCCACCTCTATAAAACAATTCGCAATCCCTTGGGGGCTTGCAATTGTTAACATTAAAAGTGCTATTTTTAATTTATTTATTTATACGTTTTTAGATAAACTTTAGAGCAGCTGTGGGCTTCGGGCTCCCTATTCACCTATTAAACAATGTATCTCGTCAGGAACCAAAATGAAGTTACTGCCAATTGCTCTGCCTTTAATATATAGTGTAGGTTTTATATTCTCTTTTAATCAGCAGACTGTTTGTGACATGAAAATAGGGTATAATTTGTTGAATGAGTAATGATTTGACATTGCTACAGGGCAGAGCTTCAGCTTGTCTTTGCACAGTGTTACAAGGTATAAAATGCAATAGTAATTTCTAACTCTGGTTATTTCTTTATAGTATGTGTCATAATAAGCTTCAGCCACTAGATGTCAGAAAAGGCCATCAAGCCAGGCCTGCTGCTGAATGAATCTTCCCAATGCTGGATTAACCTGAGGTCCACGTGTTAGTGCTGGGATTCTCCTATTAGGACTTCTTTGTGCCTGTCATTTCAGGTGTATATGTCATAGATTTTAGAACCCTTTTATTGTCTGTGGTGTTTGCTGCATGTTTTTTCAGGTGGTTTATCGTTGAGTGATTTGAGCTTTGTGTTGAGAGATATAGCCAAAAAAATGTCAGAATCAGGTTTTGTTCTTTAGAAGCAGGCTATTTTGCCCTTTGAAAATTGGTTTGTCGGACATTGATCTCTCTCTGTCTTGGCCAAATCTGTGGACTCCAGAGCAGCAACAACAAGCTGGTGCGTAAAGTGATGTTATCCAATGAAATCTGTACATTGGGATCTGAAGCCATAAAGTAACTTTTTATAAACCTTCATCACCATGTCCCAGCATTTGCCGGAGTAATGTCCTGGACAATGCAACATATTGAAAGCGGAGCTGGTCTCTGTGTTCAGGTGCTTTTACACATTGGATTACAGGATTTCACTGCCAGAAACATGGATGAGATTCCTCTATGCTATTTACTTCCCTGGGGTCTAGTGTCAAACATGTACATGAGGACTATGAAGGTTGAGACGTGTGATTCATGTGGATGATGTGCCATGACGTAAGGCTGCCCTTGGCATTTTACACATGGGAAGCTGCTGAGCACATCTTGAGGCTTTAATGTGCATTGTGTGTACAGCGCGGAGCCCCAATCCACCTGAATGTTCTAATGTAGAAAAATGATTGTTCACTATTTGGTAGGGCTTAGTGACTACTGAATTTTAATCTCGTGCTTCAGGACCAATTCATTCCATGATTATGCAGCTTATAGTCAATTTATTGGGAACTTGCACTGAATAGCAGTTTTAACATTTTTGCAAAGCTTCAGATAGTTAAATCGTTTGGTACTTTTTAGATCTTCAACCCAGTATAATGAGTTTTAACTTTTATATCGACCCAGCAATATTTCATGTTTTGTGACATACTTTGCTCTGTCCTGTATACATTGTTGGGGGAAGTGGTCACTGCTCTCTTGTACAGGAAGATCCTGGGAGCCGCAAACACAAGATGAATTGGTTTGGCTCCCACGACAGAAGCAAATGTGTTTTCATTTCTCCCTATTTTAGTGGTAGGAAAGAGCATCAGATAGATTCCTGTTTTTTTTTGCTTTTTGTTTTCTAAAATGAATAAAAAAATATTTAAAAAGGGAATTATATTGTATTTGTTAAAATATTCAAAAAACATTTTTAGCCTCTGTTTATACACAAGCTATTCAATAAAAGTAAATCTGAAATTAAATTGTGATTTTTGTCTATTGTGGCCATTAAAAGATCCATGAAAATGTGGCATTGATCTCAAACTACTCAACGTACCCGGCAATTGGTTTTCAGTTTCATCAAGATATTCATGTTATACCTCTAGGTCAGGAGTAGCCAAACTGTAGCCCTCCAGCTGTGGTGAAACTACAAGTCCCAAATGGCATTGGAAGACTCTGGCAGACACAGGCATGTTTTCCAGAGGTAGATGCATAATGAGATTTGTAGTTTCACTACCGCTGGTTGGCCAAAGTTTGGCTACCCCTGTTCTAGGCTATCCCGTATAGCACTAATTTGCTTTGAATCATGTTTTCACATTCTGAGCACTACCCTCTGTAGCTGTTACAAAGCTATGTGGCCCAGGATCATGTGGAAAGAGGCTGCAGTCCTACCTAAGACATACTATGAAAGACTTATTGATTCTAGCTCTGATAATTACATTAAATTGACATTAAATGAAATCTTGTTGGACTGCCCAGTTTCACAAGAGAGGAATGGTTACTTTGAAAGCATTTCCAGTTCATTGACTCCATTGTCTGAAGCTGCACATTAACATGTACAATGCATGACGTCTGCAGCACTCTATCCAGCCTATTCCTGTTGTTTGCTGGACAGGCAGATGTGTTAACAGACCTTATTATTGGAATAATGACCCACTTTATTGACGGCTACAGTACTGGTCCTTTGCCATGCCCGTCAAAAAACAGGATCTTCCCTTGCACATGATGGGATAATTGAAGTCAACATCAACTCACTCAGGTTTACTCATTAACTAGACTAAGTAAAAATGTACTTTACAAATACCAAATTCACCTTGAAAGTGAACATGATCAATTCTGTTTTGTTTTTTTAAATCCCTTTGAAAATGGACATGCTCAACTCCAATAGTAGATCACTGTTGAAAGTGAATATGCTCAACTTATTTAGTAAGTCAACCTTAATGCCTCTATTTTAACCACAGAGGTAGGGAAATTGATTTTTCTGACAACTTTCAAGAGGCTAGTTGTCCAACACCGTGTTCTACATAGCTGAAAAAGCAGATTCTTATGCCATAAAAAGACAAAGTACATATACCCTCACTGAACAATTTATGAGGAAAACTTGTATACCTGCTAATTAATTGGCTAATATTATTAGCCAATCAAATGGCAACAACTCAATGCATAAAATAATGCAGATACAGGTCAGGAGCATAAGTTAATGTTCATATGAAGCAGAAATGTGATCTCATAGATTTTGACCATGATATGGTTTTTGGTTCCAGACAGGCTGGATGGATTACGTTTTTCTGTAACTGCCAGTCTTTTTTTTTCATGCATAGTAGTCTCATAGTCATAATGGTGTGAAAAACGGAAACAAATTAAACGAGTGACAATTTTGTAGAAGTAAAGCCCTTGTTGATGAGAGGGGACAGAGGAGGATGCCCATGCTGGTTTGAGCTGACAGTCTAGGGTAACTCTGGTGAGCAGAAAAGCATCTCAGAATGCACAACATGTCAAACCTTGAGGCCGATGAGCTACAACAGCAGAAGACCACGTTGAGTTCCACTCCTTTCAGACAAGAACAGAAAGCGGTGGGCACAAGTTTACGAAAACTGTACAACTGAAGACTGGAAACTGTAGCCTGGTCTAGTGAATCCCGATTTCCGCTGCGGCACACAGATGGTAGGCCAGCCACTGGATCTGAATCTAATGGAACAGCTTTGGGATGTGGTAGATTGGGAGATTCACAGTGTAAATGTACAGTCATATCAACATGGATCAGTATATCAATGGAATGTGAACCCCATGTCACAGAGAATTGAAGCTGTTCGGAGAGCAAAGGGAGACATTTCCCAGTATCATTAATATAGTGTTCCTAATAAATTGCTTAGTGAGTGTGTGTGCATTTGCTTATTCCTTATCCACATGGGAATCGTTTGAGCTAACTGGATTTAGTTGCTTACTGTGAACTGAGGCGATTGCATATTTTGCCTGACATCCTCTTATTAGAAACTGTTGAAAATCTAGATTAACCAGTGACCTGAAATAAATCTAAAAGCAAAAATGTCAGCCCTCAGGCCCAAGCATTATAAGCATAGTTGCTTATTGACATTCAATAAAATGTATATCAGTAACCAATACATTGCTTTTGGTGCAACTAGAGTCTGTTGTATGATTGAAAGGTTCCTTCTAAAATGCTTGTTAGTACACATCAGCAACAAGGCATTTGGCACTACCTAATAGGCAGATTGCTGTGCAAATAGCACTTACCTTTAGCAGCTTATCAGCAGTCATCTTCCATGGTTTTAAACTGATCTGTAGGATAAAGGATGAAGTAAGAACTCCACAGACATCCCCACCCCACTCCTGCACTGTGATCTGTGTATCAACCAGATTGCCCTGAACCCTGTGATTGCAGTTTAGTTGGAAAAGAAGGAAAGGCTGATGTGGCTCCATACTAACTGCCTGATAAAAAGTTTACATTTACAAATACCTAAATATGGAAACTTCTTGAGTTTACTGTTGCCAAGGCCGAAGAGGAGGGTGTTTGTTTTTATACTCAGAATGTACTTATCCTTAAACTAATTTAGGATGTTTCAAATCACATAGCACATAATAGATATCCTTAGTGGCGTAACTATCCCCATAGAGACCGTATCGGTCGCTATGGGGCCCGGGGCAGAGGGGGGCCTGGTCAGGAGGCCGGGGGCTAGGCGGCGGCAATGGTGGAGGAGGAGGCTGGGACCCGACGGCTGTGGCTGCGGCAGTGGAGGAGGAGGACGGGCCCAGTGGTTGCGATGAAAGAGGAGGCCAGGACCCAGTGGTGGAGGAAGCCGAGGCCCAACAGTACCTGTGGCGGCGGAGGTCGAGGAGGCCGGGGCATGGCGGCGGCGGTGGTTAAGGAGACCGGGGGCCCATCGGTGGAGGTGGAGGAGGCTGGGGCCCAGCAGCGAGCGGCTCGAGGCTGACTGGTA